GCAGGTTTTTTTTGTGACATTTAGATGCTGTAACTCTTCTCCTGTCCTTTTTCCAGGAGTACCAAGAATGTTTGTTTTTCTCTTCAATATGTTGTCATCATCACAGAGCTTGGTAACAAATTGGTAAGGGGATTCTTCTCTCTTGAGATGCTCCTGTGCCATGATCTTGGGTACCCTAGTGTTCTTTCTTTTTCCTTGTATTATTTTTTTTTCTTTTAATAAATTCACATGTGCCTGTTAATGTATTTTTGAAAGTCTTCCATCTCACCAAGTAGTATCATTAATCAGACACTTCTTTGCCAACTAGGGACAAATGGAATCCTTGTAACTTGGCTAGGAGTTAAAAAATGGTTACAGATAAGGATTGTCTTTTATTTAGTGAGACATGGACATAACATCTCCTGCTAATATGTCATCCAACTAGGTACTCAGTGTTATTGTGTCATACCTACCTACCTTTTCTATACCACTATTGATCTGCTGCAATGTGAATGGCTCAAGCATAAAAAATGTTTGTTCTTTTAGCCATTCAGAGCTACTAGTTCTTTGAATGTATTTGTATAAATGAGCTGATTTCTGATTTTTTTAAAATTTCAGTTAAAAAAAAACTTGAGAGAGTTAGTCTCTAGTCATATTTATTTTTACTGGAAATGTAATGTTATCAGTTTTTCATCTTGTATATTCTGTTTTGTTAAGTAAACATGACAACATTCATTCAAGTGTTTTTATCCACATGCCCTACCTAGATCTGTGAGAAGAAGAGGGTCAATTTTTTGTTCAGTTTATTAAAAGTTTTTGGTTTTGATACAGTTTAAGAAACTCTTTATCACCAAGTTCTTTGTTGACTGACCCTATGCATACCTGTTGGAGGTAGGATGTCTAAATAGCATAGATTTTGGTCTCCTTTCAAGGTGACCCCAAAAGCTTTTAAAAGGTTCTATCATGACTCTTGTGTAAATTCATTGAAGGAAATGGGATTGCACAGATTTGAATGACGGAACTTGGGTTCCTTTCTTCTCACACTCAGTTTGATGCTGAATTTAGGTTGATTGTGATCAATTAGTAGTTTTAGTTGCAGACTAAACACCTTTGATATGAAAATAGAGGGTCAGTAACCATGGACTTCACCTTAAATACAAACATTGTTAAACATGTTATTTTACCAGAAACACCCAGTTACTATCCAACTTCAAAGTTGCTGAATATATTGGCCTTTTCTCATTTTTCTCTTTGAAAAGATGTACCATAGGAATGATTGCAAATTTTGAATTTGCAGGTAATATTTTAATATTGTTTATATATTGATATAGTTATACAGACACACAACTATTCTTTACAGAAAAATCAAGCTTAAATGGTTCATGTTGCTGCCTGGTTGAAAAGGCTGAACTCCCATGTTTTGCATGATTTCTATTGGGTTTTTGTGAAACTAGAAATAGTAATACTGAAAGAAGAGAAGTTAAATGTTCATCTTTGTCTGGTGTTGAAATATAAGATAAGCCAAAATGAACCAAACCCAAGCAAACAAGAACAATCTGTCCATGTGAAAACTCTACGGATCTTGCAACATTTTCCTATAGAATTCCACTGACATTAGGGTTGCCAGGTGTCTGGTATTTTCGCTTCCTGTCCGGTAAAAAAAAAATCCAGAAAATTATGTCCGTTATTTTCTGATTCTTTCCCGGGCAGGAGTCAAAAATCCTGGGTGCTTACCTGGTTCCACAGGGGAGCTGTCTGGCTTGGAATAGGGAGACAAGATGGCGAATGGCCACCAGCAGGCTGTTAGGGCCAAAAAGCTTCAAAAGCATTTCTTAAAGGGGCCATGCTGGTCTTTTTTTTTTCTCAACAAGTTTGGTCTTCCCCTTTTTTTTCCTCAACAGAATTTTTCCCCTGGTGTTTTTTTTTTGGGGGGGGGGGGGGGGAGAGAGGGAGGTATTTTTGGTTAAACTGTCTGGCAACCCTAACTGACATTGTTTAATAATCAGTAGTGGGAAGAATTGATTTGGTTGGAAAGGGGTCTGTCAGGTTTGGGAGACTTAAAGCTAAGACTCCATTAGTCATAACTAGTCTCTGGCTCAACTTGATCTCATGATGATGGCCAAAATGGCATTGAATTCCAGTCTATTTGGTGATGTATGAAATGAGGTGTTGGCTGGTCCAGTTCTTACTGAATTCATACCCAGGTCTGATAAACCAGTGTGTCTCAACCAGTGGTATGAGTACCCTTAGAGGTAATCGAGAGAAGTCTGAGGGGTACATCAACACCACTGAAATTTGGAGAAAACTGAATTTTTGTTTTAAGTTTTACAGCGCTTTATTATTTTTGTACTTTTTACACCCAAAAATTTCATTGCCGGCTACAATTAAGTTGTTTAAAGAAATGTGTTGCAGTGGTAGAAAAAATTGTGTGTCTGAAAACTGTAGATACTAGGGGTGACATATTTTTTTAAGGGGGTACTTTATTAAAAAAGGTTGAGAAACGCTGTTATAAACCACTATACAATTGGCATGTTGCTTAGCCGACTTGTGCTAAGAACGGAAACTCTTATCTTGAATCTATGGAAATCAATGGAAAGTCTTCCACTGACTTAACTGGGCTTTGGATTTGGCTCCAAAGGAGCCAGGGCTTTGCATGTGTTGGAATTAGGGATGGAATTTCTTCACTGGAGGGAATTCATGGATATTGAGACATATTGCCTGAATTTAGTTAATTTTGATCATTTGTATTATGTTTCATCACTGTATCAAGAAGCCTTTGAAAAGTAGTAAATAAGAAATAAACATTGGGTTGGATTCTCTGCTGCATTCAGTATCTCCTGGCTGCAACAGAGGGGGAAGTGATGGTTCTTTCTGTTCCTGTCCCCCAGCATGCTTTTGTGCAGCTGGGATGTTCAAAACATGCTTCTCAGTTGTGGCCCTCAGGGGTTGTCCATCAGTAGAGAGCTGAGGAATGCAGAATGCTCTGTAAGCTGGGAACACTGTCCACACTTGAGAAATGTGGCATTCTATGCTCACTTTACTCTTGGGGGAATTGTAGGGAATTGCAGACATGCAAAATTTGTGTGTCCATTTTTTTGCTGCATAAAATAAATTTCTGGCATGATTATATTGTGTTGTTTTGACAAATAAAATATGCAGACATTTCAAATATCGTTTTCAGAATTTTTAATTTTTTGGCTCAGGAATGTCCACCAGAGTAGCACAGTCAGACTGAATATAAGAATCTTTTCCATTATTACTACTCTCCTTTGCACCCTGTAAAGCAGAAATGAAACCAATGTCAGTGAGGAAATTCCTTTAAGGGGATATTACCAACTCATACTTGCCTCAATTTAAATATAGTGTATATATCTATAATGTAACATCCATAGAAATATTTTCACAATGATTTGAAACTTCAGTCAAAATAATTATTAAAAAACCACAACATCCTGCAGTGTTTGAAACACAAGCAGGCAAGATCTATGAATCTGAATGTGAAACTGACTAAAAGCAAAACTGACTTCCTTGAAATAGAAAAAAAAGTAAGCAAAGAATAAAACTAGTGACAAAACAACTTGTATTTTTAAAATTCCACTTGAATAATCCTTGGTGGTTGGTTTTAACAGGTGTAAAAAATGTGCTTACAGTGTGTGATTTTTCAGGTTGATGATGTCCCTTAAAATGCTTCCTGTTGGTGTCATGCTTATATTCAGAGAATGTCAGCCTGACACCTTTCATAGACACAAATGTCATTTGAAATAACGGAAAGTACTTTTGAAATAGTCTTATTTGCCTTAAATTGAAAGGCCATTGCCAAAGTTTTTAGGTCCAAAGTTAGATCAAGCTTTCCTTGTATGTTTGTAAAATCTAATTAGAGTTTTTACTAAAAAATAAAAACTAAAATAAAAGCTTTGATACTTTTAACCTTTCCAAAGGGTTGTCTTAAATATTGAAATATTTTTAAGATAAAAATACAATGTCACTAGTACATTTTAAAAAAACGTATTGGGGAAAATCTCACCTCATTTTTACATAAAGAGTAGTTTAGAATATTGTTTAAAAATGTAAATTTCATTTCAGGGAACTGATTGAAATTTTGGCAATTTCAAGAAACCAGAAACTCCCACAACCAGGAGAGGAGAGCCAGGTAAATAAACTTTCATAAGTATTTGTCTATGCAGTTAACCTCCACATTCAGCCTTTTTCTCCCTATTCAGGCTAACTGAGGTTGGAAATTTCAAAGTTTAGTGGTAAGAGCCCAATCCTGCTTCCAGGAAACTCAGTGATAACACCCCTTCCCTTTCTCACCATCAGAGAGGCAAGGACTTTGCCCTGAATTAGTGAAATGCTGGTTGTGTTCAATAGGACTGAAATCCTATGAAATGTGAGAGCAGTGATTTAACAGACTCTTCAGTATTTTGCATGTTCAGGGCTTGATTCAGTCTCTTGCTGTGGCTGTAGGCAGTGTTCCCTCTAAGATTTTCCACCCATGAGCAGAGCGAGTTTTGTCTTGTGCACCAGTACTGAGTTCATGTGGGCTTGTTCAGATGTGTGCCACTGTGGCACCCAAGTTATTAATAAATATCTTATAAATGTCTCCCTTTTCCCTCTGCTGCCATGTCTCCCACCCTCCCCTCGCCCCATCTGCTCCCCTGATACTTGGTGCTGCTCCCTGCCCATCACCCTCCTCTGCTGTCCTGGCTCCTGCCCTTCTCACTCCCCTTAGCCCTTTGTGGACCTGCCTCCTCCCCATCCTCCATGACGCCTGCACCAGCCCTTCTCTTCCCCGTGTTCCCACTCTTCCTCTAGCCCCACTCTGATCATCTGTAGCTACCCCTCTTCATCCCCTCTCCTAACACCTCCCTCAACCCACCTGCCCTGCCTCACCTCTGGTACTTGTCCCTCCCCTCCAGGTGTCTGCCCTGGCATTTGTGTCTCCTCCACCCTGCCCTTTGGTGCTTGCCCCTTTCTTCTCCTGCCCTGGCCTCCTCCTCTCCTCTCAGCACAAGCCCCTTCCCTCTCCTCATCCACCTTCCCCTTAGCTATCCCCTTACTTCTTCCCTAAATTTCTGCCTTCAACGTGGAAAGCAGTTTGCGGGGGCTGGAGCCGGGGCCACGGTACTATTTTTAGTACCACAATCCCAGCCCCAGCCACTCCTGGGGTAGGACTGTGTGCTGGGACTGGAGCAGAGGCCACCCGCGGTGCTATTTTTAGTAATACGGTCATGGTCCCTGCGCGCGGCCCCAGCTCCAGCTGGAGTAAAGCGGCAGCTGCACGATGCCTGTTCCAGCTGGCACAGCCTCACTGGAACCGCACACCTCACACATCCCCAGCTCCAGGCAGAGTAAAAGGGGAGCCGCCACTACCAGGAATCCACCAGGCCACTGGCTGCCGCCACTATTCACCTTCCTTTCCAGCAGGAAGGTTGAGCAGTGAGCAGTGCTGCATGGCTCTTAAAATGACATGGGCAGACCTAAAATTTGTAGTGCACAGGCATGCAGCTTAGTGGGAACACTGGTTGTAGGTACTCCAAGGGCTGTAGAGCAGCTTCTTGCTAACTCCTGCATGTTCCTTGAGCACTGGTGGCGAAAAGTATGACTATTCTGGTCAAGAAGCTTATTAGATGGCTTGCTGAGTGCATGTCTGGAGAGTTCTGAAGAAAATTGTAGCCAGCTATTTCCTTTTGTGATCCTTTGTCCTGATGATCTTCATTCACTCTCCGTCTAGCACTTTATCAAAATCTCAGCTAGTTCTCTCCCTCTGTGGCTTGAGCATGAATTTGTGTGTGTGATGAATTGTCCAATTATTTGATATCTTTTTAAGAAAATAAATCCCTAGTACATACAGGAAGGAGAATTAATTATACCTTCTCTTTCCTGATTACTTAAAACAGGCCACCTAAGATAGCTGACAGTTTCAGAAGACTTTTCTCTAAGGGGAAATTGAGACTGAAAACAGCAAAGATTAAATGTGAACATATGTAGTACTAGTTTCAGTAATTTACAATTAATCTTTCTCTTATTATCTACTGTAACTTATTCTCTTGCACTAGCTTCAACATCAGGCTTTCACTCTTACAAATTCAAAGATGAATTTCTAATGGAAGACCCCATTAATTCAATTTGTGTTCTGAAACTCCTGCTGTGCTCTCTAAACGTTGAACATCCTTGACTGTGATAAAGATTTTGTAAGCAGAATTTAACTCAAAATTGTGTAGATGCATGAAGCAGAACAGACTGCTTTGTATTGAGTGTGTGGTGCCGAACATAAGTAAGGACTTTATCAAAAGAGTAAAGAGACACAGCTAGAAGATTCACGGAGAATATACCTTCACTTAGTGGATACTTGAGTGTAGTTTGTGGATTACATCTGTGCTTTAGATGAGGCCAGCTATTAGATGCCCATACTACAATGTCTTGCAAAGTAACCCTTCTGAAAAGAGAAGATGATTCTGCATTCCAGCATACACCATGTTTAGTGAGAGGGCTAATCATACCACATGACATTTGAGAACATAGCAACTTCTAGTTTGGTTATAGAAACTTCCTCTTTTCTTTGGTGGCAACAGAATAACTTACTCCATCTGGAGTGGCACAGGGAGTCAGAGCTGTGAATCTGAGCTTCTGAATCAACAGAATTTAGGAGTGCCACAGAGGTAGCCCAGGAAGTTGTCCATGGGAATAGGCACAGTAATCTTGACTGAAGGAGCACTGTTGATAGGTTTGGGAAAAATGTGGTCTTGACTCCCCTATTCTACCCAAATGGGCCATTATTTTCATGTGACACTTCCTTGTATTTCTAAAATAAATCTTATAGTTTTGGACAAAAAATAAATGCATTACACTTGCTAGATTTGGTTTAGGCAGCACTAAACTACATATGTGTGAAACCTATTTATAGAAACATTAAACTATTGTTTCAGTTCTACTTACCAGCACTGTGATGTCTGTGCTCCTATGGCTTCTGGCCTTATGTCTATAAAAACACTTCTTAGTGCAATAGGAGGACATACCAGTTTACAATTAAGGCTAACAATCATGGCAGGATGAGTCTTCGAAAATTAAGGGAGAAAAATAACTGCAATAGAATGTGGGGGTAACTGTTCTTTGTGCGTGAGAGGTTGAGTGGGTAGAGTGGGGCCGGTAGTAATGAAAGGACCACATCCCACATCTACAGAGATTTTCCTGCATAAAACACAGACTCCTCCACTTTCAAAAGTGATTTGCTTGCCACAAACTGTTTCAGTTGCACAGCTATTGAAGATACCTCTTTCAATCTCAGTGTCCAAAATTGGCAGCTTCACTGTGGCTTGAGTGTACTTGTTATGTCAGTTTGCTATATGTAAAGTATTTTTTTTATTTAGGACATTCTAGTTAATACCCAGGGGTGATGAACTAGTATGGCCAGGGCTTTGAGTGATGTATTGGGCAGTGTCATAATTAACAGTGCTGGAGCTGAAAGGTTCATAACTAATATTAAGAATTAATTATTTATTAACTGAATGAGGAAAATTGGCATCTTTTTGGTTCTTATTTCCATGTGTTAGGCAGCAGTCTCAGCAAGACAAATCCAACAGTGATGTGGGTTGGGATGACCTAATTTTGCTAAACTGAGTCAAATTAGTAGCTTCTCTGGTACCCAAGAAACAGATATGTTTCATGTCTGCGTGTTCAAATTTAATATTGAAACTTGTATCTACCTTGACAGATGAATGGAAAGTTCTTGTCTGCATTCATCAATAAAATCCTCCAACATACCAGCTTTGCTACAAACAAATACAGCGTTTGTACTTTTAGCACATGTACTTGACGTATACTCAGATTGCAGTTTGGTCAGTCTGGATTGTAGGTTATCTTGCAGCGTAGAAGAGTTGAAAACTTCATTTTATGTTAAATGTTTTGTTTTAGAGAATTCAACCAAATCAGAATAAATATCTCAGATCTGATTTCTGTTGTTTCTCCTAGCACTGGATACTTCTTCATAGTGTAGCTGTGGATTTTATAATTAATCAAGATAAATAAGTTTCATAAAACAATTGTTATGACAGATCCTGGAGTTGCTGATCCAGAGAGATGGAGAGTTTCAGGAATTAATGAAACTGGCACTCGATCAGGGGAAAATCCATCATGAAATGCAGCTATTAGAAAAGGTAGTCGAGAAGCGGGACAGTGATATTCAGCAGCTACAAAAACAACTGAAGGAAGCAGAGCATATACTGGTAAATATATAGATGAAGTGTTTGCTTTGAGAGTTGCTGTTTGGGAAGGCAATAAAGGATGGTTGTGCATAGCACATAGTTCTGAAAAAAACATTTATTTTTAATTTAAGAAGATTAAATGCATGAATTCTTCTTGAAAGCTTGGGAATTATGCTTTTAGTAGATAAAGTTAAGTAAAAGTTACTGAGGTGCTCTCTCTTGCTTTTTGGAAATGCCATAATGGTAATTTTCATCCAGCCTATATTACTCTCCTTTCATAATAATTTTACACTCCACCTTACCCCTTGTTTTCATTATTTGAAATATTTGAGGTGAAAATAACTCCTATTGTAAATACGGAATAGGTAAAATGTGCAAAATCAAACTACTGAATACAGGTGCTGGTTAAATAAGGAAAGAGTAGAAGGAGAAATGAATGTTGTACAGGCAGTCCCCGGGTTACGTACAAGATAGGGACTGTAGGTTTGTTCTTAAGTTGAATTTGTACGTAAGTCGGAACTGGCGTCCAGATTCAGCCACTGCTGAAACTGACCAGCGGCTGACTACAGCAAGCCTGAGGCAGAGTTGCTCTGCCCCGGGCTTCCTGGAATCAGCCGCTGATCAGTTTCAATAGCAGCTGAATCTGGATGCCTGGGACAGAGCAGCTGGGGGGCTGCAGCGGCTGAATCAGGATGCCTGGGGCAGAGCAGCTAGGGTGCTGCCAGGTTGGTCCAGTAGCACCGAGGAGCGGTGCTGCAGGACCAACCGGCAGCGCCCCAGCTGCTCTACCACAGGCGTCCGCGAGAAAAGCCTGGTCTGCTGGGGGGGCCCAGCAGTCCAGGGAGTCGCGGAGCAGCTTTTCTCGCCCCGGAGGACATGGGCGGCAGGACCGCGGCGTGTCTGGGCGGTCCCCGCCGCCCGCGTCCTCTGGGGCAAGAAAAGCCTCGTTCGTAAGTACGGATCTGACATAAGTCGGATCCGCGTAGTCTGGGGACTGCCTATACTTCACATTTAGCCTGCCCCTCCCCCCTTTGAGAAAACAGGCAACCCTTTGAGCAACTTGGACTAGCGAAACCAATGGCTATATGTGGGCATCACAACTGATATTGGCTGGTAGTTAGTTAATTTCTCTGACATTCTAGAAACATTACTGTGCTTACATAGCAAGACAATCTTTATTTAAAACACTTGTATATTTTGCAAACATTCATATAATAAAATGTTGATTTGACTTTCATTTTAGAGGAAATTTTAATAGCATAAGTGGATAAATTTTTCAGGGCCTCTTTAACTGAACCTAAGGTTATAAGTTAATGAATCATTGAAGAATATTTTTTCTTGAATAACTAGGCAACAGCTGTTTATCAAGCAAAGGAAAAACTAAAATCAATAGAAAAAGCAAGAAAGGGTGAGTATCAGTAGTTTATTATACTATTATGAGGCTTTGAAACTATATAGCTTGAAGTAATTTATCTAAAGTTCTATGTACGCATGTAAGTTGATTTTTAAAAATTGTATCATGTAACAGTTTAAGAATCTGTATAAATTAAAAATCTGTGTAAAATGCTACATGGGTGTAAGGGATTTCAATTTAATTTGGGATCTCTAAATCTTATAAAAGGTTTTGTAAAACTGGACTGGAGTGGGTTTTATTTTGGAGAGGATGTGGTCTGCTTTTGGGGAACATAACATTGTAGTTTTAGGGTCTAGCTCAAAATACATTTCCTTCAGCGTTCATTAAAATTAGCTTAGTTTGTGACACAAGGCACTTACCTAATATGCTGGCCTATGGTTTGTATCTAACTTTTTTTTGAGGGGAAGGGCAGACCATTACTTTTTTTTTAACGGATGTTAACAATGCTACTTACTAAAAGTTATTTCTTGCCCTCAAGACTCGCTGCCAATATACTAGATATCTAGGAAAATCAGTTACAGCATGTCCATGACTATGGTAGTCATTTGTACAAAAGAGGTGGGAAGGTATTTTATAGCTATTAACAGAATATTTATAATTATTTGTGATTTTCACCCAAAATGATCTCAGGGCATTTCATAATATATACATTGCTCAAAACAAAGCCATTTACGGAGTGGAGAGTGACTCCTGTCTGGCACATGCACAGTGCATGATGGTAAGAGAAAAGGGAAGAGAAGTTTAGTTAACTACACTAGGGCAAGTCCCTACTATTACAAAAATGCCTTTGTATCTTAGAATCAGTTTGTGTGTGGATCCTAAAAGTCTCCTACGAAAGACTCACCTAGCTCTTGCACAGCCTTTTCTTATGAGTAGATATCAATGTACTTTACAAAGTAGACTTCAAAATTAGTCTGCCTCACAAGGCTGAAAAAATTAATGTCCTGGGCAAACCTTCTGGAAGTATGATAAATGTTATTGAATTAGATTGAATCCCTTGGGGCGTTCATTGTATTAAAAATGCAATGGTGCACGTGTTATTGTGGAATTGTATATAACTGCTCTAGGAGAAGGAGGGGGATGCTAATGCCATTCCTATATGTGCACATATACTAGTTTAAACTGGATTCCCCAGGGAACAAGAGACAAGAAAAGGATTTTTTTGATAAACAGCCTGGTTTAAAACAGCTTATGGCCTTCTTCCTGATTTAGGAGATGGACAGGACCTCTGGTCTGTGGAGGGCCACTTTGCTTAGGGAAGGATTGGAAAGACTTGGCCTACTGAGGCCCCGTAAGACTGTGCTTCTTTTGAAATGAAGCTCTGATGAACTTGAAACCACAAGGAAATCCCTTGGGTTGGGTATTGAAGGACTGCTCCTATCGGAGCCCCTGTTAGGGTTGGGGTGATCTCTGGTAAGCTTATTAGTGTGGGGATAGGCTCTTTTATTGTTATTGATGTTTTCTCTGTGGTACTTTTAACAATAACATAGGCATGCATAGGAAGAACTGTGTGATATCTTAAAACTCAGCCGATTACTCTGTTGTTAGTATCTGAAAAGAAAGCAAATAGAGCTGGTTAGGCAACCTCTCCCAGTTGGGAATAATATAGTAATGGCTGGGAACTGTTCTAATTGGAGATACCCTGGTCAAAGGGAGAGAGTTGAGTGAGATGATGGCCAAAGAAGCATGAAGCCTTGAGTGGGCTTTCCTTGCTGGTCATAGAGGTACAGTTGCCCTGAACTGTGGCACTATCCTCTGTGCCAGTGGTCCCCATCTTTTTTTATGCCCAAGATCACTTTTGAACTTCAAGGGTAACCCAAGATCTACCTTGCTCCTTCTCCAAAGCCTCACTGACTCCATTTCTTCATTTCTCCCCACTTGCCCGGTCTCTCGCTGTCTGCTATACTCAGTCACTTGTACTGGGCTGGGGCAAGGGTTTGGAAGAGGAATTAGGGTGCAGCGGAGTATGAATGCTGGCTCTGAGAGGCGGCTCAGGGCTGAGGATTGTGGTGATGGCTCTGGGAGGAGGTTGAGTGTTGTGGTGCAGGCTCCTGCAAGGTGACATTTACCGTTGGCAACTCTAGGTCATTGGTGCAGCAAGGCTGAGGCAGGCTCTGTGCCTGATCTGGCCCCATTCTAGAGCTCTGCGTGGATACAAATCTCTACCTGCAGACAGACATTGATATACATTGCTCAGCAGAACTCTGCTCCCCAGAAACTTTGCAGCCAAAGGTGAGGAGCCCAGTGCCACCGCTCTCAGGAGCCAGCATCCTGCACTGGCAGCTCCTCCCAGCCCTGCCACCACTGGGGCTCTACAACCCTAGATAGGAGAGGCAACTGGCATTAGGCTGGTGGCGGTACAGTCACACAGCTGGGAGAGCTGTCAGTGCATGGTGTTGGTTCCTGAGTTCAGCAACCTCTCCTTTGGTTGCAGCACCTCTTATGAGCAGCACTCTGAGGATCAGTGGATATTGGTTTCTGTCTGCTGGTAAACATTTTATTCATCCAGGGTTCTTCATGCTGCTTCCCCACCATATGCATGGGGCTGGCAGCATGGGGCCGAGGCAAGTAGGGAGCCTGCTGAGTGCTAATCGTGCTTGACTGGGAGACTTTCCAGGATTGGCCAGTTGATTGCAATCCTATGCAGTGCCTGCATATTGGAGATATCCTTGAGGTTATGCTAAAATATTACATTGTTGCTTTCTCTTTGGAATTATCAAAGTGTTAATTAATCTAAAATTACCAAGTCAGGCACCCTCTTGAGTGTATTTTCCCGTGCTTTTCCCGTGTTAACTTCTTTTCCCCTTTCACAGGTGCTGTTTCATCCGAAGAAATAATTAAATATGCCCACAGAATTAGTGCCAGCAATGCTGTTTGTGCTCCTTTGACATGGGTACCAGGTAAATGTCATGTTTGACAAATTAGCTGCTTGAGTCTGTCATACTTTCATTGATGGCATGACATGGAAATGTCCTTTGATTACAATATAGGAGCTATGATTAATGATCACCATTTAATATTTGCTTGGATTTTATAGAGTTTTCCATTATTAAAAAGTCTTTTTTGGCCTAAGATACTAGTATATTTTATTCCCTTGTTGAATACCTTGGAGTAAAATATAGTGGAAATTTTGTATGTCCCTTTGGATAGCCATAAAATCCACAGCCTCTGGATTCCCTTAATAAGTTGCTACTGAATGTCCTCCATTGGGTCCCTGTTTTCTGTGAGGCCCAATTCAGGGTCTTGGTCCTAATTACAGCCATTAATGGGTCTGAAAAAGATATACTAAGGACTCTCTCTCTCCAGTCATGTTCCTCTGAGACTATAGCTTTAATCACGGAACGTGGAAACTATACAGAAATATTCAGTGATGGGTCTCAGTATCTAGAACTAGCCCTCCTGCAGCAGATCAGAATATGTACTTTTCTAAAGAGCAAGGCCAAGAACTGAAATGAAGTCTTGCTAATAGTAGCAATGTGAACAGAGATACAGGTTGAACCTCTCTAGTCTGGCACCCTCAGGACCTGACCAGTGCTGCACCAGAGAATTTGTCAGACCACTGGAGGTCAATATTGTTTAACAGCATTACCAATACTTCCACTGCTTACTAGGCTCTTGGATGATATTTAGGGGTAAATTAGAACTAAATAACAGCACAGAACACTGAGAGACAGGGCTGGTGGCTGTAAACAAACTCCATGGGACTGCGGGAGACTAGGCCACACTCATGATAAGTGGACATCTGGCTAACTAAAATCATGCTGGACCATAGATGTTGCTGGACCAGTGTGTGCTAGACTGGAGAGGTTCAACCTGTATATCGTTTAAAGTGAGTGTACTACTTTTTTTGCTGAGCTTGAGAAAACAAATGTAAATGGAGAATATATTTGGATTTAATTGCTCACAGAACAGGTGTGCTTCCCATTGCTGATGTAAACAATCAACACAGTTTTCTGTTCAAAAAGCATTACAGGAAAAGATTAGCACTAAATAGCTGATAGTTATCTTGCAGATGTTAGCTTTGTTCTAATATAAAAACAATTTGTTTTTAAGGGGACCCACGCAGGCCATATCCTACAGATTTGGAGATGAGGAGTGGCCTATTGGGTCAGATGAACAATCCGTCCACAAATGGAGTTAATGGACACTTGCCAGGGGATGCGCTTGCAGCGGGCAGATTGCCAGGTAATGGAAGGATTTAGATGTGTATGCAATGAATACAAGAAATACCATAACCATAACAACTATGAATTTAATTCCCTCCAAAATATCCCTTAGTGATATCAAGTCAGAACAAAAACAGCTAAAAATTCTGGATAACACGGTTCCCTGGCAGTAAGGGATTGTTAAACAAAGTAAGCAGTTTGAAAGGCTGGCCTGGTGATATATAAGAACAAGATCAAAAGTATTCTATTTTATTTGTACCACTGCTAAATCAAATTGAGATAACTGAATCATATTGGCAAATCAATGGGAAAAATGATTCTTTTAAAATCATACACCTAAAATATGGAAATTTTTCAGAGCAAATTACAGGTTTCTTAGCAATGAAAACGAATATGTTGTTTTGAATCACAAAAAGGAAGTTGAGATATGTATGAATCAGAAGATTTTTCTCTCTTCTTTAATTTGTGGTCTATTATCAATAGACTAATCACATGTATTTAAAAGATCCAGATCTACAACTGGTGAACTCATATTTACTACTAAAGATAACTTGTTATTGACAAAACAATTTAAATATTGTGCTGTTACATGTGAGAATTAAGGATTAAAATTGAAATGGCTAGAAACTGTGAATGTAGAATGCAGTGGATTAGTTATGCAGGGTGATGGGTGGTTTTTACCCTTCCAAAAGTTGATTACAGGAGAACAAAACTTCTATATTGGATTAAAAAAAAGTCTTTCAGTTGTTGTCTGTCCAACTGTTTGTAGTTATGAAAAGCTTGTTTTCAAAAGTTAAGCTTAAGGTAGGACACATCTAAAAGCAAAAGTTTCTTATTGCAGCTATTCTAGAGAAACTGTATTTATATAAATACTAGCTTAGAAACCACAAATTCAGTCCTTAACCTAGCAGTGAAGTCTTGGGCAAATTGTTCACCTCTTTCCAGAAAGGTGAAATGCAGATGATAACATTCACTCATTTCTCAGTGCAGAGATGACATGAGGGAGGCACATGTCCCCCAAAAAGTCTTGGATAGAAGGGGGAAGCAGCTGACCAATAGCCAATTGGGACCAGAGTCTCTAGGCATCTGGGTGGACTAGTGAGGTGGTGGGGGAGGGCCTGGGACTCTCAGAGGAGTCCATCCCCTCTGCATTCACTGGCAATGGTGAGGGAATCGAAGCAACGTGGCCTCAGCTCATGTTGCTTGGCGGGGAGGGGGACTGCCCCCCTCTGATGGAGCAGGCCTTACTGTAGTAGAATGGTTCATTTACAAGAGACTTTTACAAGAGAAGAGCTTGGTACTGAAAACGAAACTTTTGAAAATGTTTAACAGTATACACAGCTGTGCCTCTTTGCAGATGCATGGGCTTGTCTATTTAAAGGCTGATATTCATCTAATGATTATGCTATCAAAGCACTGTATTTATATATTTATTTTTCAGATGTGCTTGCCCCTCAATATCCCTGGCAGTCGAGTGATATCTCAATGAACATGCTACCTCCAAATCATAGCAATGACTTTATGCTGGAGCCTCCAGGGCATAATAAAGAAAATGAAGATGATGTAGAAGTTATGTCAACAGACTCCTCAAGCAGTAGTAGTGACTCGGATTAAGTACTGAAAAGGGACATCATTCCAACCAAATAGACTTCTTTCCTCTGGTGAAGGCAGGTTGGATGCTGTTCATCAAAAGCTGAAATGCCAGCTGGATACAGTGGCTTCACTGTGACAAAGCCAGTTTACATCTAGGATGATGGTTTTAAAATGGTGACCTCTTTGTTGCTCTATCCACAAGGTGCTCAATTAAAACAAGCAAAAACTGGTGGTAACTTTTTGCTGGACAGAGTTTTGCCAGATTTCCAATGATTATGTTCTTTGTAAACTATATTTTTTACTATGCATTAGACAAAATATGTTTCTGGAAGGAAGCTGTAAGGGGAATCTCCTGGGATGTTTGTTAATAATTTCATTCTTTTGATAATAGCCTTTCTCTTAAGGCGTACAAATGTGTACAGCTGTGTAGATTTTAAAGGTTGGCTCCTTTGTTAGCTACTGCCAGAACTCAAGTGTTTGGTCATCTTGTGTATTATGAGAACAAAAATGTGGTGTGACAATAAGCTGTTATACAAAAGTATTTTTGTAATTATTGTACTATATAGTGAATTTGTTATAAATAAAAAAATCAACTTTGATGTACTTTTATATTTCAACTTGCAGAATTTAATCTTGGACTAGCTTCTCTGCCTATCATGTTTGCACAGAAAGAAACCCCTATATAGTTGTTATGAGAGAACAAACAGTTTCTATTGACCCTCATTCATGGTTCTCTGAAATTTTGATTAGGGCTTCATTATTAATCACATGATTTAAAAATTATTAAACAAAAGAATACCATTTATGTAAATATTTGTTGATATTTTCTACATTTCAAGTATATTGATTTCAATTACAATGCAATACAAAGTGTACAGTGTTCACTTTATTACAAATATTTACACTGTAAAACATATTTTTCAATTCACCCAATGCAAGTAATGTTGTGCAATCTCTTTATCATGAAAATTGAGCTTAAAAATATGGAATTATGTACAAAAAATTACTGCTAACAGCAAAAGATTGACTTTTTTATGGTGCTTTCGGTTTTGTAGTTTCCACATTGGAGTGTTGCCCTTTTAATACTTTTGAAAGCATACTCCCACACCTTGCCCCTCTCAGATTTTTGGAAGGCATTTCAGATTCTTAAGCATTGAGGCTATGTCTACACTGCGGAGCTTTATCGGAAAAAGGTATGCAAATTGCACTCTGCAATTTGTGTACCTTTTTCAGATAGCTTTATAGGCAAAAAGTTAAGACCCTGGTATTTGGCATAATGGATGGTCCAAATAGGAGAGGCAGACCCCACAGAGAATGGATAGATGATATACAGTAATTCCTCGCTTAACATGTTTGTGATCCCAAAAAAAAAAAAAAAAAAAAAGTGGTATAGCAGACGCATTCCCTGGACACAGCACAGTTTTTCTGGGATATCTCTGGTATCCCAGAAAAACCCCGTAGTCTAGACATGATTAGTCTAGTGCTATAGCTGTCTTAGAAATCTCACATGGATACCTTCTTTGCATTTCTGTCAAATCGCGAAAGTATTCTTAAAGCAAACAACACGTGTGGGGTTCTTATAGACTAACAGATTTATTGGAGCATAAGCTTTCGTGGGCAAAGACCCCTTTCGTCAGATGCATGTAGTGGAAATTCCAGAGGCAGGGACAAATATTCATTCATAAGAAAAGAGTTCCAATCAAGAGTAAGGTTGTTTCTCTGAGGGTATGTCTACATTACAGAGAAGATCAAAGATGCTGCTGTCGATCTTCCAGGGTTCAGATTAGTGGGTCTAGTGAAAACATACCAATTCGAACTGAGAGGGACACTCCAATCTATGCCGCAGACTCTGATTCCAATTCCCATATTTTGTCCATCTTCCAGATGAGTGGAATGAGAGCACTTCTGAATTCTAGTCTCCAGTGGCATAGCATACCAACCCTCCTGATGCCACAAGCCTCTTCTTCCTAATTTATCTAATTCTAAAGGAATGAAGGCCATATTTAAAGTGATTGAGTGTGCACAGAACAAATCACATAGCATAAGTATAAATAAAGGAATGCTCCATACTTTCTTTAATCAGATTTAATAAACCCTACATTGCACTTACACATTTATTGTGTTTCCTCATTGCCAATAAATAAACCCTTAGGCTACGTCTACACTGTAGGCTTTTTGCGCAAGAACGGTTTTGCGCAAGAGCATGTCCACACTGCCATGTGCTTTTGCGCAGGGGATGAGCTTTCGCACAAGAGCATCCATTGCAATGTGGATGCTCTCTTATGCAAGAAAGTTCTGATGGCCATTTTACCCATACGGGTTTCTTGCACAAGAAACCTCTGTTGCCTGTCCACACTGCCTTCTTGCGCAAAAAGGCTTGTTCCTCAGGGGGGAGGAATAACTCTTGCGCAAGAAGCCCTCTGTTCTAACGCTTTACTGTAAATTTATATGTGCAAGAATGCACTTGCAGTGTAGATGCTCCGCATGTTTTTGCGCAAGAATGGCTGTTCTTGCACAAGAAGCCTGCAGTGTGTTAGAGAAAAAACTGCCCCCCAGTAAGGCCGTGTCCAGACTCAGGGGTTTTTTTCGGGAAAAGTAGCCTTTTCCCGAAAAAACTTCCCCTGTGTCCAGACTCAAGCCGCGTTCTTTCGAAATTATTTCGAAAGAACGCGGCTTTTCTTTCGATGGCGGTAAACCTCATTTCACGAGGAAGAACGCCTTCTTTCGAAAGCTCCTCTTTCGAAAGAAGGAGTTCTTCAATGTAAAGAGGCCGTCTTCGAAAGAGAGCATCCAGACTCGCTGGGTGCTCTCTTTCGAAAAAGCGGATTTCTCTTTCGAAAGATCCGCCTGCAGTCTAGACGCGATCTTTCGAAAGAGGCTCTTTCGAAAGATGCTTTCGAAAGAGCCTCTTTCGAAAGAAGCCTGCAGTCTAGACATAGCCTAAAAAGTTTGGCCAGGCTGCTTTTGCTATAGTGGGCTGCAGTACTCCTCTGGAGAAACCGGCCACATCCTTCCTGCATACCATTGCCTTTAGAAAAAGAGAAGGTGTAAAAAGGGGAAAATAGCCTCAGACTCTCCCACCCGTCACCTTGGCGTGAGAACTGCAGGGCTTACCTGGTCGCATGAAACCTGCACAGTTTCGGCCCAACCCCTGGGACACAGACCCCCCACTTGATGACCGTTGGGCCATATATAGTAAAATGCAAGTGCGGGAAAACGATGTGCAGACTTGGGGATAAATACCCATCGCACAGTTCGCTCGAGGAGGTCTTCGCAACACATGTACCACCATGCGAGTGCCTTCCCGTATACTTCAAAGTGCTGCCGGCCTGATCAACTGACTAGCCACCTCCCCCGACTCTCAGGAGTAACCAAGGCGTTCGCAACTGAACCGATATCTTTGAAATGTTCCGTGTACTGTGTAAGTTGGTATGTATGATTTGATTTTTTTTCTTGTTGTATAAGCTTAGTGTTGTAGTTGTTTTGGGTAGTACATAGAGTTTGTAGTTATCACTGTTATTTAATTAGTGTAGCTGGATATTTTTAGAATAGAGACTATTCCCCTTGCCATTCCCATCCTTATATCTCTGACACGTTTAACTAGAAATCATAGAATATAATAAATACTGTAAATTCATTATTGACACGGTCTATTAAAAATCTTAGAATAAATACTATAAATTAATCACTGTTATAAATAAATATTTTTTATTTGCTAAAACAGTCCAGCTGGTTCTGTCCTTCCCCCCTTGGGTATGCATCATCGGACCTGTGATTCTCACGACACAGTGTAGACGTAGCCTTAGTGATTAGCTGAACAAGAGGACTGAGTGAACTTGTAGGCTCTAAAATTTTACATTGTTTTATTTTTGAATGCAGTTATGTAACCAAAAGCTCCCTCCATTTCTAAGAAGCATTTTTATGATAGATCACACTACAGTAACTGAGGTGAATTAAAAGTACTATTTTGCATATTTTTATAATTAAAATATTTGTAACCAAAGATAATATAAAATGAACACTGTACACTTTGTTTTCTGCATTGTAATTTAAATCAATGTATTTGAAAATTATAGGAAAACATCCAAAATGTAATAAATTTTATTTGGTATTCTATTGTTTAATAGTGCAATTGAAATGATACTTTATCACATTTTTTTTTGTTAATCACGAGTTAACAGCAATTAATCAAGGATCCTAGTTTGACAGTCTGTTCCAATTTTTTCATTCTGCATAGTCCTGTTAGAATACCCCTTTCCTCAGTCACTCCTTCCCAACATTTAGGGAAAACATTTCAAGGCTGAAAACGGATGCTCCTCAGACCTTAGTTTCCTCCATAACAAATATAATGTCACCATCTTATTCTCAGACTCTGACTAATGTAATGAGAAAAGCCAGCCCCAGTAGAGGTTTCACTTACTCCTCCCACCTGAGACTACACGGTGCTCTAACATCTTGATCACTAAGTTATTTGCTGCTTGTATTTCAGAAACTGAACAACTTGCTTTTAGAGTGCTCTCAGCAGCTGATGTACTGTGGGAAAGAAGTAGAAATGACTTTGAAGTCCAAACAGTTCTCTTCTCAGAAAGAAAAACCTATTTCTCTATTTCAGCATCCTAATTCCCTTTCCCTCAGCTGCCCAGGTTTAGTTTTCTTGATACTTGTATCAGTCCTACTAGTTTCCCATAGCATTCCCCAGGGAAAACTGCACAGACAAGAACTGAAATGGTTTGCGGTGTGAAGCTGAGGATGGGAAATAGAGACAGGAAGCAAGATGGTCAAATTTAGGGTATATCTTCATTGCACAGCTGGGCTGAGCTCTTACATGAGTTTTAGCCTAAAACCCCTACTATTCCCATAGGCTACCTGGGTATAAAGGTGATTTCAGCCAATTGCTATCTTAGCTGAGGGTGTAGGTTAGAGCCTACGCTCTACTTTGCCTCAGATTGAATCTGCTCACTTCACAGTTAAGATGCAGGTTAAATCACTTGAGTGCTGGTGACAGTCCTTTGTGCCCTTTCTGTAATTCTCCCTGAAGGACAAACACGTTCTCTATATGCAATATTATTGTAGTTGTGTCTGTCCCAGGATATTAAACAAGGCGGATGTGGTATCTTTTATTAAACCAACTTCTGTTAGTGAGAACTTTTTGAGCTGCTCTTCAAGTCTAGGAGAGACAATCAAGCCATGTCTGCAGCAGCACAGCTGTACCAATACAACTCTCCCATGGACATAAATCAAATCTCCCACAATGAGTGGTGGCAGCCTTGCCATGTCTCCTGCCCTCGTACTGCTGTCCATACTAGCACTTCTGGTGTAACTTATGTTTCTCAAAGGTGTGGATTTTTTTCACACTTCTGAGCTATATAAAAGTTATACTGACAAGTGCTAGTGTACACCCAGCCTGAGTGCCTCACAGCTAAATACAAGCTCAGACATAGTTTAGCACAGTAAAGATGAATGGTCCCTTTAGAATGTGCACCAACTACTTATGCTAAACTATATTTGATGTTTTATTTAGCGGTGAGCCTGAGTGCCTTTCCCAGACCTGAAGAAGAGCTCTACACAGCTCAATAACTTGTCTCTCTCTTCAACAGAA